TCTATCCACCCTATCAATTGGCAGTACTTGTTGAGTTTCAGTAAAATCCTACAGTTTAAACAAAGGGGGTAAGGACTGTGCAAAAGAATAAAGGAAATTGAAGAATCTACTTAAATAAATTTACAGATTTAAATGCTTGGAAGGGCTCATCTTATAAAGAACTCTGCCTCCTGTGGGGAACAAGATCTTATTAGAAAAGTATGGGGTGTGTATCACAGACAAGCAAAATAGGAGAACGATAGCAAACGCTCTCCATAATCCCACAGGTGATCGGCTGAGAACAACCCAAGAAATCTTCACCCACCTCTTGTGTCTGGACCACATTTTGCGATGCAGATGCTTCTAGTGTCTTCTGGAAACGCTGAAGCATTTCTGCCTGTGTCTGTGGGTAAAAAGATCTTATTAGACTTGATAAATTACATTAGAGCCCTTCTTCAAGTAGTAATTCAGAAATAGCAGTACAAAGCACAAGTAAAAGAAAAGAACGGAATTTAAAAAAATATACATTCATAATCACGTAGGTGGATGTAGCAGCGATTAGATGCTGCATATGCCCTGCCGCCTCTACACCAAAAACTGAGCGATCGATGATGACCAATTGCTTAGTAATCGAGTCCACTCTGTGCTCTGCTCCTCCAGTGCTCACTAGAGCACCGGATTGTGGAGAGTGTGGAAGCAGCTGGCTCAGTCTCCTAGTGGCATGCCGAGAGGCTAAGTCAGCTGCCAGTCAGTCACTTAGGCAAATCCCCACATTATTGCCGGGATCCCTGAAGAGCCTGGACTGGCTCTGTAAAGTCAGCACTGAATCTGAACTTGGGTTACAGGAGTGCAGAACTAAGTGCCTGTACTGGTTCCAGGATTTGCACCGCCCTGCATTACTAATTATGCATTATGCTACGGATCCTCTAGTCCGGAGTTGACAAGCTCAGCTGACACTAGAACATAGAGATCAATGATCCATGGTAACACAGGATGGCAATCCTGCAGGACATTAAAGAGCATGTAAGTTGTCTCAGCATTGTCTGCAGAAACTCATAAATCCTATCACATTGGGAGACACAGCTCCCTCTTCAGTAGCAGCTGTAACACCTAACGGCTCAATACCATTGTGAACTTTTTTCAAACTGTGGCGATAAACTGCCAGTATACAGTGGATATAAAAACTCTACACACCCGTTAAAATGTCAGGTTTCTGTGATGTAAAAAAATTAGACAAAGATTAATAATTTCAGAACTTTTTCCACCTTTAATGTAAACTATAAACTGTACAAATCAGTTGAACAAGAAACTGAAATCTTTTAGGTGGAGGGAAGTAAATATAAAAAGCTAAAATAATATGGTTGTATAAGTGTGCACACCCTTAAACTAATACTTTGTGGAAGCACCTTTTTATTTTACTACAGCAGTCTTTTTGGGTATGAGTCCATCAGCATGGCACATCTTGACTTGGCAATAATTTGCCCACTGTTACTTGCAAAAACACTCCAAATCTGTCAGATTGCTAGAACATCTCCTGTGCACAGCCCTCTTCAGATCACCCCACAGATTTTCAATTGGATTCCGGTCTGGGCCAGTCCAAAACTTTAATCTTCTTCTGGTGAAGCCATTCCTTTGATGATTTGGATGTATGCTTTGGGTTGTTGTCATGCTAAAAGAAATATGAACTTCCTCCTTATGTTCAGCTTTCTAGCAGACGCCTGAAGGTTTTGTGCCAATATGAACTGGTATTTGGAACTGTTCATAATTCCCTTTAACTTGACTAAGGCCCCAGTTCTAGCTGAGGAAAAATAGCCCCAAAACATGATGCTACCACCACCATGCTTCACTGTAGGTATGTTGTTCTTTTGGTGATGTACAGTGTTGTTTTTGCTGACAAACATATCTTTTGGAATTGTGGCCACAAAGTTCAACCTTGATTTCATCAAGCCATAACACATTTTCCCACATGCTTTTGGGAGATTTCAGATGTGTTTGTGCAAAATTTAGCCGGCTTGGATGTTTTTCCTTGTAAGAAAAGGCTTCCTTCTTGCCACTCTACCCCATAGCCCAGACATATGAAGAATACAGGAGATTGCTGTCACATGTACCACACAGCCAGTACTTGCCAGATATTCTGGCAGCTCCTTTAATGTTGCTGTAGGCCTCTTGGCAGCCTCCCAGACCAGTTTTCTTCTCGTCTTTTCATCAATTTTTTGGAAGGACGTCCAGTTCTTGGTAATGTCACGCCCTATTTTCTCCAGTTGATAAAGACTATCTTCACTGTGTACCATGGTATATCTTTTTATATCCACTGTAGGTGGCCAGCACTATCCACATGGACTGATCTCTTGTTACCACATACTGTCAGCATTTATATACTAGGTCAGCGGTACTTAGTCACTTATGGCAATGAGCAGAGTGCACCCCAATGATGGATGTATTTGTATGCTAGTAACTTCATGCAATGAAGATTACAGCTACTCTGTTCCTGAGGATGATCACTTACTGATTAATTAGGTTTATATACCATCAATTAGCAATGACCATGTAATAACATACAATGTTGATTATTTTCTCATTAGCCAAATACTGCTGATGATCCAACTCTACTGCTGCACTTCATTTGGTTAAAAAAAAAAAAAAAAACAAAAAAAAAAAAAACACACCTTACAGGATTTGTGGTCACATATGTACTACCTGCTGAATGATCCCATGCATATTGGCCCCAAATACCCACAAATGATTATAAAATCAATGGGTGTCCTAAATGAGCAAAAGTGGAGGGTGAATTAAACACTAAGGTAGTCTCATGGAAACTACTAGTATGTAGCACCCTTAACAGTAAATTCTTTAAGCCCTAAGTAAGTAGCTCCACAATACTGAAGCACCTAACAAAAACGGCATTTGACCAGGTGAACAAGTTAAAGGAGCACAATACAGAAAGGGCAATCTATGCCTAAAAAGGTTGCTTTTCTAGGGGACTCTTGTTCTGCAATATTTGTTACACTACCCCTGCTAAGGTAAATTGCCAAATGGAATTGCTTAGATGCTGGCTGCCCACTAGAGACAACAGTTATTTAACCCCTTGACGCCGACGTAACACAAATATGCGGCATCACGGACCTGGGCTTTTTTCCGTGGGGCCGCATATTTGCGTACCTGTCTTTGTGCTGGGAGCGCGCCGCTCGGCGCGCTCCCAGCACCAAGACCGCGGTGTCACTGAGAGCCCCGGGTCCCGTTCTAACGATCGGGACCCGGGACTCCCGATTCCGGGTCACGTGATCGCTGTGATAGCCTCTGATTGGCTATCACAGTGATCAATCACAGTGATCAATCACTGTGCAGCCCGGCCCCCTTGTTTTCTCTCTCTCTATGAATGGAGAAGAGAGATACATTGTATCTCTCGAACTCCTGACATAGAGAGATAAAAAAAAAAGTTTGTTAAAAAAAAAAAAAAAAAAGATAAATAAATATTAAAAAATAAAAGAAAAAATAAAGAAAAATACCTAGATCAAGGTTTGATCTAGTTCAGTACCAGGGTTAGTGTTTGGGTCAAGGTCAGGGTCAAAGGTCAGGGTCAAAGGTCAGGATAAAAAAAAAAAAATTGGTATCAGTGTCAGTTAGTGTTAATGTCAATGTCAGTGACAGTGTGTTTTATGTAAAAAAAAAATTAAAAAAAAAAGACAAAAAAAAAATGCGCACTGTTGTTTCTGGACTGTACTACGGGTACAAACAACAAATTATATACACATATATGGTATCGCTGCGATCGTCAAGAACTGGAGAATGTATTTTGGGTTGTTCTTTGGTGGTAGGTTATGGTCGTAACAAGAAACACACAGTTAAATTTAAAAAAAATGATTTTTTTTACTATTTTGGCCCAGTTTTCCTTTAATAATAAAAAAAAATTAGGAGCTATCCATGACCATTTACCACCAAATGAAAGCCCAATTTGTCCTGAAAAAAACAAGGTATAATCCACCTGGATGTACAAAGTAGTTGTGACAATATGTACGGTTTTACTAACACGTCAACGTTGCAGAATTGTGCTTAGGCATTTAGATTTGTTTTACCCTTAGGCGTGAAGGGGTTAAGGGCATCTCCACCAAACTACGTTTAATCTGAGATATTCAGATAAAAAGGGAGAGAGCAACCTTGTGGCCTTAGAATAAACAAATATACAGTGTTAAATATCATTAAATACAGCTAAATGGTGTCCAAGTTGTTGTGTGTGTGCGAAAATGATTGTGTATTTTTTTTAGACTTATTAAATAAAAATTATACATTTTATATGACACAATTGTGGTCCATTAGGCCACATTTGTCGCCAAAGTAACCACTTATCTGCCTTGGCTCTCTTGCTGAAGAACTTCTCTATTTATCCTTATTTTGGTTATGGTGACAGCACTGAAATCAGTGAACTGACAAAACAATCATACTAGTGGGTGGATTTCTCTCATTATTTTGTTTAACTTTTTGTGACCCATATGGGAAGGAAAGCCAAAAGATCGTATTCCTCTTTTATAAAAATTTACAGTTAATTTCAGCAGAGTCCAAAAAAGATTTGGCTAAATTAGAGAGACTTTTTTGTGTTAAAGCTTTATGAATTGAGCCTTATGTTTTTTTCTACTATGAAACTGTAAAGGATAATTTTTTATAACATTAGGTGCAGTTCTACAATATGAGACACAGATCCATCATTAAACAGAAACAAAAAAACAACATCAATGTACAGCCACCTAAACTACACATACAATTGTTCATTGATGCACATACCGTATTTTTCGCTCCATAAGACGCACTTTTTTCCTCCCAAAAAAGGGGGGAAAATGTCAGTGCGTCTTATGGAGCGAATATAAAGCGGCCGGTCCGGTATTTTTGCGGCCACTATGTCAGAATACCGGGCCGGACGCTCAGCTGTTCTCTGCTGCAGGACCTTACCTGTTCCGCGCTCCAGCGCTGCACAGTCTTCCCGCGCTGGCTTCTGTGACAGCCGGGTGCCCACTGCGCATGTGCTGCGCTTTGTGAATGATCCGGTGTCTTCTGGGACACATGAAAGGTCCCAGAAGGCGCCGGGCCATTCACAAAGCGCAGCGCTTCTCGCACATGCGCAGTGGGCACCCAGCTGTAACAGAAGCCGGCCCGGGAAGAAGAGGGAAGGCAACTCCGCGGAAGTGGGAGCGGGTACCTGTCAAATTCAGGTACCCGCTCCCCCTCCCTCCCCAAAGGTCAGCAGTCTCTGGTCATTCCCTTCACTGTCTGCAGTCTCTGGTCATTCCCTGCACTGTCCGCAGTCTCTGGTCATTCCCTGCACTGTGTCCGCAGTCTCTGGTCATCCCCTGCACTGTGTCCGCAGTCTCTGGTCATCCCCTGTACTGTGTCCGCAGTCTCTGGTCATCCCCTGTACTGTGTCCGCAGTCTCTGGTCATCTCCTGTACTGTGTCCGCAGTCTCTGGTCATCCCCTGTGCTGTGTCCGCAGTCTCTGGTCATCCCCTGTACTGTGTCCGCAGTCTCTGTTCATCCCCTGTACTGTGTCCGCAGTCTCTGTTCATCCCTGTACTGTACTGTGTCCCGCAGTCTCTGGTCATCTCCTGTACTATGTCCGCAGTCTCTGGTCATCTCCTGTACTATGTCCACAGTCTCTTGGTCATCCCCTGTACTTTGTCCGCAGTCTCCGGTCATCTCCTGTACTGTGTCCGCAGTCTCTGGTCATCTCCTGTACTATGTCCGCAGTCTCTGGTCATCTCTCTGGTCATCCCCTGTACTATGTCCGCAGTCTCTGGTCATCCCCTGTACTATGTCCGCAGTCTCTGGTCATCCCCTCTACTGTGTCTGCAGTCCATTGGTTCAGAATATTTTTTTTTCTTGTTTTTCACCTCTAAAACCCAGGTGCGTCTTATGGTCAGGTGCGTCTTATGGAGCGAAAAATACGGTACATCAGAATTGCATAAATATGCAAAACTGACTTAGCCATAAATATATATTTGGGTCAATAAAAAAATTGTTTATTTTATTAGTCAGTACATTCTGTGCAGTTCAGATGCTTGCTTTCTCTGTTCTTTTATTCTATTACCAGTTAATACTAAACACAGTTATAGATATTTATGCTATATTTTACTGATTGTAAGGACGACAGTTTAAATTTTAGGTAGATTATTTTTATTATAATAGGGAAATTATTATAGTGTTAGTTCACCTTTACTTACGTTCCCCAAAAACAATCTTTAGCATTACAGTGTCCCTAATACATTAATATGCTTTGCTCTGTTTTGCAAATAAATATTTTACTTTTCAACCTGCTCATAAAAGTGTCCTCTACTCTCTATCATGGAAATGGCAAGATGTACCCAACACTGAATGCACAGCCCCAGAAACTCACAAGCATGCACTCCCAGCTTTGTTCTCACCGTCGCAGTTCACTCTCTCGTAACTCTGAGTTCTGCAAGAGTGCTACAGAACAAACATGGGTAAAGCCAAAAACTGCTCAATCATAAATCTCCAAAGGGCACACATCCAACCGTGGGTATGTCCTGCTATCTGCAGGCAAATTAAAAAGTATGCATTTATTTGCAAAACGAAGCTTAATATATTAATGACACTAACACATAGGGACATTATTGGGAAAAGTTAAGGTGAACGAACACGTTAAATTCTAATATAAAGACTAAAAGCCTGTATAAATTGTATGTACACAACTCCCCAATTGCCATTTTCCAGGTTTTTTCTGATCTCTTCAAGTTTAAAATGTTTGCCTTTGTCATCATTTATAATACTATGAAAAGATTGTATTACTTGCTGACTTAAAGAAACTAACATTTAGCCTATTAAGCCACTGGATGACAGTTGCCCTAGAAGATCATATTTATAGGATTCATACCTGTGCTGCGATCTGACGTGCCTCCTCCAGTTGTCTCATACTTGCTTGGGCCTCTTGTTCTGCTTGAAGTCTCAGAGCAGCCATGCTTTGCTCATGACGTTGTTGTTGAGACTGTAAGAAACAAAAGTAGGAAGGTTAAAAAGGAGAAGTAGGGCCAACACTTTTTTGGCCCCACTTTTTCTATGGATCACAGTGCAGCTTGTTCTGCACTCCTGTGATACGTCTTCAGCCAAAAGCTGGCTAAAGCCCCCTTTTTGATGACGTCACTCTTTAAAGTCGGGATCCACCCAGATGCCTGGAACGGCAGATGGCTCAGTTTCTCAGTGAGCTGCTGAGAGCCTGAGCCAACAGCTCCCACCCCCTCCTCAGTAAAGCGTTCCAATGAGTCCTGGAGGGGCAGAGCAGAGAGACGATGACTGACAGCCACTGCTCTCTGCTCAGTGAAAAACGAACAGCAGCCTTTGATCACTCAGTTCTCAGTCTTAGAAGCATCGTAGCAGTGCTGCATCCACCTAGGTGAGCATTATTTTTTATTTGCTTAAATACCCCATACTTCTCTTTTAAACAAAATTTGATCTTTGAGTATGCAAATTAAAAAAAAAAATAAAAATCCACTTTTATGCCTTCCTCCCCAGCAGCACATACTCCCTCCTTGCCTTCATACCTCCATGGTTCTGTATATTGCACACCAATGCACAACATACAGAACATTTTTCAACTGCACTTCAATGCAACCCATTTATGTGTATGAGCCTTATTAAAACAATTACATTTTTCATGCCCATTCATTTTGACAGCATTGAAAAATGGAGCAAAACAAAGGACAGTCTATAGTGCAAAATACATAAAGCAGTCCAACATTTCTGTACAACAAAGAAAACATGTTGACTAAATTTTAATTTTTATTTCTTGCTTTGTTTACAACAGGATTCTTCCCTTGCTTTATTAACACAAAAGTTGCCAACAGAATGCACAGCATAACTCCTAGTTAGGTAGGAGTGGTGGTGTCAGCTGACAGCCAGTCCACTCAGAGAAACAAATTAAAAAAACCAGGGATGTTGAATTCCTATCGCCCGACGCCCGGGACATGAAGTTCGGGCAGGTAGTTTTTTTCCTCCTTTAGCCCTGCTGCAGGCAAGCAGCAGGCTCACCTGTCAGCGCTACCGCCAATTGCTTCCACACAGTGCCAGCCTCTCCGCACCCCCCCGTGAGGTTTCCCTGGCTCCGCTTGCCCATCTGTGGGCCTGCCCGGCTCACCGCCAGCTAGAGGGGAGGAAGAAGAACGGACAAGTCCAATCCCTTCCCTCCCCTTCTTGTACTGACCCGGAAGTGACATTACAATGTCACTTCCAGATCCCCGATCAGAGATTGCAATACAATCCCCGGGAATTAATGTAATATGGTGCAGATGTGCACCACATTACATTCAGTGGAGCAGAGGGGAGACATGCAGGGTCTTTTAGACCTTGGATGTCTCAAAGAGAACCTGTAACCAAAAGTCATCACATAGGGGACTTTGTCCCCTATGTGATGAAAAAAAAAAAAGTGAAAAGAAAAAAGTTTTTTTTTTTAGATTGTAAAAAATGAGTTACACCCTAGCACATACCCCCCGAAAAAAAATATTGAGGCCCCCACATATACGCACGTACAAAACATAAAAGCACACGCTGGGGCGCGTACGCATGAAACCGTCGATTGCGATACTCATGGCACATATCGCCGCACACGCCAGATTGAAAACGATAATTCTAGCACCAGACCTCCTCTGTACACTATACTGGTGATCTATAAGGAGATTTAAAATTGTTGACCTATAGAAAATATAGGGTATTGAAGTTCGCCGCCATTTCACGAGCGCGCACAAATTTAAGGTTTGACAAGTTGGATATCTATTTACTCGCTGCAACCTCATCTTTTATATTTTACAAAAAAATAGGGTAATTTATTGCTTTTTTGTGCCCTAAAATTAACTTACTTGTATTTTTTACTAAAAACATTTTCGGTAAAATAATGCGACATAAAAAAAATGGAACTACCACTATTTTATTCTCTAGGGTCTCTGCTTTCAGAAAATATATAATGTTTGGGGGTTTATGTAATCTTCAGGCCTAAAATTATTTTTTAAATGTGTGCAAAAAAATGCAAAAATGGCTCTGGCAGTGAAATGAGTAAAGTATAAGCCCTGACACCCCATTTCCTGACAAGCAGCCAATTGTTGTTCATCACACTGCAAGGTCTCCCCCCTCCCTGCTAGTTCCCGGGTGCGGTGCTGGAGACAGGCAGAGAGGAGAGGAGGAGATAAACAGCACAATGTTAAAAATATTACACGTTTAAGTCACAATAAAGCCCCTTTTGTTTTTAAAAGCCCCAGTCATTCCTAAAATCACATCCGATTTAAATACGGTTTTGGTTAATAAAAAAAATTTTTAATCAGGACAAGTAGATTGTCATGGAGGGACAAGTAGATTGGGGCTGCGATTTAGTTCCTGGACAAGTAGTTTTTTTAAAAAAATTTCCACACCCCTGAAAACTCAAATATCTGCCAGAGAATAACATGAAACAAAAATCTTACCTTTAGGATCTGAGCCAGGGAAACGGTTTCTTGCTGTGCAAGTGAAATTCCCCGGACGCGCTCCACATCACATAGCTGTCTAACAGATTCCTCCATGGCACCCAAGTAGTTAAGTTCTGCAGACATGCGCTGATGTAAGCCAGCAGGGGAAAATCTAATAGCACCTGAAGCAGACACAATTATTAAATATGCAAAAAAATCTCCAAACTACGATACCAAGTACAGAACTTAGATGGACAACCATAACATACTTTGTCCTGATGCAGCCATTAATCCTGGAGCTTGAGTTCCTGTGGCTGCAGTGACTGGTTGTGCTGGTGGTGAGGGTGCCTGTCCTGCTGTGTCCTTCATGCTGGAATGAGAACTTTTACCATTCCGTCCTCCATCGGACATAAGGCTAACATACAAAAAACATAGCTTTCAATCACAGATTTCCTCCAGCAAGAACTGCTAAAATTAGGAAGCAATGTAGGAAACTGTACCTGGTAATAGATCGAGAAGAAAGATCACTCATAGTGCTGTCAGATTCAGAGCCTGCAGACTGCTCTTTTCCAAACGGAGCTTGCTTGCTGACATGGATTTTGTGTTCAGAGCCTGATAAATTTTGCACCGTATCCAGAGGCAGTTGAGGGCTATCATTCTGTAAACCCATCTCTAAAGGGAAGATGAAAAAGAAAAAAAAAAGTTATACTTATACAGTCTCCTAATTTTGCATAGAGATGCAAATTTAAATATATTACGAGCACTGAAGGCAATTTCCCTTTAAATTAACTTTATAACCATAGTGTCATTGGTAAACAAATCCATCGTGAAAAAACAGCCATCTTGAAAAAGATAAACAAGTATACCTTTCTATCCAGTGTCCCATGACTTTATAATCTGCTGCTTTTCTGCAGATATTTGGCACTTCCCAGTCTGTGAATATCTGTTCCTCCTGTTGCATGCTGTATTTTCTTTTCTTGGCTCATATGTCACTAAAGGACATACCAGAAGGAAGGAGTAACCACAGCATGTGGTGAGGAAGCAGGTATCTGATGCATTCACATGTGCACTATCATCATCCAGAAACTGTGTTCAGGCAGAATCTATGATCTGGACACTAAAGAAGAGCCAAATCATAGGCTCTGCTTAAACAGAGTTCCTGGCTGACTCCACAGCTAAGACTTGCAGCTGGACCAAGCTTTAGAGAAGCTTTTTAGAACTCTTAATTGTTAAGGTGGGTTTGAAGAAGCAGAAATGTCTGCTGACTGAAGGTTTGTTTTATACACAGAAAAAGCAGCAGAAGATAAAAGCTATTGAACACAGTTCCCCTATATGATCAAACATATTTGCTTATTACACAAATACAACAAGAAAATAAAACTTTGGC